TCTTACTAGTTCCATTCTTTAAATTTTCTTATACGTATTTAAAAACCCATCCGGTCAAATCACAACAAATATAATACATGCTTTTTGATGACAGAAAACGGGCTTTGACTGACCACGTGTTGCTGCTGACTACAAATGCTGTACTGGTAAACAACCATTCAATGTGATTGGTCAGTATTATCAGGCTATTGTTGTATTGCGAGTTTCATATGCAAATTAGTATTGATTTCATTGATCCAATCGATGAGCAAAATGATAACCAGCACACAAAATTTTAGCACGCCCCATCAAGCAAACTGTCATGCTGTTTGTAAAATGATAATACGTAAAGATTGTTTTTTTCTGTCTAAGGTGAAGAGGGATGTAATGTTCATATCTTGATATAGTCATTCAGATTTAATGTTTTCCCACGTTTAGGAATTTGCTATACCAGCAGAATATTATACGTTAAATACAAATTCAGTAATTGATGTTGACAGTTTCAGCCACGCCGATTTGTGTAATCATTTAGTTATGTAGTTTAGAATTAAAGCGAGCAGACGTGTTTCTGTTTTAAGTGTCTAGAACACGGACAGTACACAACTTATTGCTGCATAACATTTATCCTCTCATTGTCAATGGTCCTGAGAAAACATGTTGAAATGTCGACTTGGGACGCCTAGTAGCTGCAGAAACTTTACATGATTTAATAATTTGGTCTATGGTCAAAGATTATACATAACACCAGTTTCTGCAGATAGATCCCTGTCATAGCGAGGATGAATAATATTTTGACTAAACCAATTATTAAGCAATCATTTAATATCATTTTGAGAACAGAGAGCTCACGGTGAGTGAGTGTGGTCAACAAAGAACCATAACTGGCTAAATCGGTATGTAGCGGTAATGAGTTGTTTTCGGCTGATTCAATATGAAGCGGTAATGATGTTTTTGGTCGGAAAAATCAGGCACGTAGCATAGTTTTTGAAAGTGGGGGGGGGGGCAACCAGAGAAAAAAATTTACTTACCTGAAAGTAAAAAAAAACAGTATGTGTTTGTGAAACACTATGCGCCCGGCGGCACAAAGTTCGAAAAAAGCTATTTTTAGCAAAAAGGGTAAGGTCACAAGGTCATTGACCTTGGTATCATTTTAAAGAACCTGATTAATGGAGTATGCATACCAAATATGAAGGCTCTATCTCTCATAGTTCAAAAGTTATAGTTAAAGTTCAAAAAAGCTAATTTTAGTAGCATATAGGTCACAGTCAAGGTCACAAGGTCAATGACCTTGGTGTCATTCAAAAAGAACTTAATGAGCGAAGTAAGTATACCAATTATTATTATTATTATTATAATTTTATTAATTTATAAAGCGCAAAATCACATATAGTTTCTATGCGCTGTACAATGGATTTGCTAACATTTAACAAGAATATATCAATAAAACCTATAAATCTGTTATAGAAAATAAATAATCGATAAAACAAAAAGGACCTTAAATAAAACATGGTAGTAAGATGAAATTGGTTAACGTAGACAAGACAAAATAAAATGAAAATAAAAACTGTTATGTACACAGGAAAGTACTTCTGAAGTTGAGTTTACGAGAGGAAATACATGGAGTCCTAGATGTTATGCTGGAATTTTACATTCATAGGTTATATTCACGCTTGAACAAGAGTGTTTTTAGGTTCTTGCGGAATGCTCCATGTGCTTCAAGCTCTCGTAGTTCTAAAGGCAGGTTGTACCAAAGTTGTGCGCCTAATGTGCTTATGGCTCTTGCACCATATTTGTTTGATGATTTCTTTATTATTACTTTCCATTTGTCAGACAAATACGAAGTCTCTATTTTTCATGGTTCAAAAGTTATGGCGAAGTTTAAAGTTTGAAGACAAAAAGCGATTTTTAGCATATAGGTCAAAGTAAAGGTCACAATGTCATTGACAATGGTATCATAGGAAAGAATTTTATTAGTGGAGTATCCATACTAAATTTGAAGTCTCTATCTTTCATGGTTCAAAAGTTACGGCGAAGGTTAAAGTTTGCAGAAAAAATCTATTTTAAGCATATAGGTCACAGTCAAGGTCACAAAGCCATTGCCCTTGGTGTCATTTGAAAGAGCTTAATTAGAGGAGTATGCCTACCAAATATGAAGTCCCTTCTCGGGCTGATATAGGATGCGATATGGAAAAGGGTATGTATTATTCTCTATATAATATCATAAATACGGTCTGTTTAATATGAATACAAAAATAGGTTGCTGTTAACAGAATGCAGAACCCATGGATCTTGAAACATCTTTTACTCTTTTAGATGATAAGAAGAAGACATCAAGTGGAAATTTAAAGCTCTCTTGCGCTATCTTGTTATTTGTTTAAAGCACTATCTCGGCATTGAAAAATTAAAAGAAAAACATTAATGAATTAAAACCTTCTTTAGATGAGCATTTCAACAAGGTTCTATTGAAACCTTTATATAATGTACAGTCTTGGAAAGATTATGAAAGCATTGACTTGTCGATTGTTTATAATCTTCTCCGTAATTGTACAGCTATAAATCCACCAAAACGGGAATGGGACCACGAACCGGACAAAACAGACCAAGAATTGGGAGCTGATATTGAAAGGGTGCATTTATCGTGGAATAGATATTTTGATGGGGAGACCGAATTTGATGACCTGAACGATTTATATCAAAGAATGCTCTGCAGATTTGGAAAACTTAAAAAGAAAGAACTTAGCCATTTTCATTTGCCTGAAGAAAAAATATCTCCAAGTAAGAGCAAGGAAACAAATTATCTATCCGTTTATCATTCTATTTATCTATTGAGTGATTGAATTTTATAGTTAATTTATATTTATCAATTTCAAAACTCGATATCAAAGTGAACACTTAGCATGGCAATGATATACTTTATTATTTGTAACAGGTGTTTACCTGACCCGGCAAGAGAAGTAGAGACTTTGATCGTCAGAAGAAACGAAAAAAGACAGTAATGGAAATCTTGAAGGACAGTTGTATTTGTTGTGATTTGTTTTAGGTGACATAGTTGTCTAAAACATATTGATAAATTTTACAGAATATTAAGCTGGATCTTGGAATGGAGGGAGGAAGTTAAAAAGAGTAACGACATCTTTATCGAAGACAAAAATAGGATTGTGTTATGCGATAATTTGTTTGGAGGTTGTCACATGGAAGAGAGTATCTTTGCGAAATACAATTTAAATGAAAACTGTGGTTTTTTTATGTGATATTTTAACTTTTTCATCGCCATGAATGAAGAGAGTTCCCAAATTCTAATTTCTAGAAATAAGTAAGACGGATTCTATACAATCGTACAAAAAATCATTCTTTCATACAAAATTCTGTCATATATTAAATAGAAATAGTTTTATGATCAGGTTGGAACTTTTACTCACATAGTAGAGATATACTAAATTTAACTAACAAAATAAAAGTGTTCTTTTAATTTTTGACATCAAAAAAATTAAAGTATTTTTGCCCCCCGCTTTTGCGAAAACGAGGGGACAATATTTCTCATTCGTCTGTCCGTCCGTCAGTCTGTCAGAGTGTCCGTCCGTCTTGTGACAAGTCCTTTCTTTTGGTACCACCAAATTTGACCTTTTGACCTTGACCTTGGAGTTTCACCCACTTTTACACAAAAACTCCAAACTTTTACTTTGGCCATAACTTTTGAATTGTATACACTAGGACTTTCATATTTCACATATGTATTCTTTGTGGCAAGGCCTTTCATTGGATACCAAAAACTTTGACCTTGGAGTTTGACCTATTTTAAAAACAAACCTTGGCCATAACTTTTAAAAGGAAAGGGCTAGGGCTTTCATACTTCACATATGTGATCCTTGTGAAAAGACCTTTTACTGGATACAAAGAACCTGGACTCTTAGACCTTGACCCACTTAAAGAAAAAAAACCTTGAACATAATTTTTTAAGGGTTAGTGCTAGGGCTTTCATTCTGCATATATTTATTCCTTGTGACAAGATCTTACATTGGATATCAAATACTTTGACCCCTTGACATTGGACTTGGAGTTTGGCATACTTTTAAAAATATTTAACTTTGGCCATAACTTTTGAACGATATATACTATGACTTTTATATTTCACATATGTATTTTTTTTTGGCAAGACCAACAACTTTGACCTTGACCTTGGAAATTTCCGTACTTGTGAAAAAACTTTAATCTTGGTCATAACTTTTGAATGTTAAGGACCATTGCTTTCATACTCCAGATACATGTATGTAATGCTTGTGCAAAGACATTTCATTAGACGCCAAGAACTTTGACCTTGACCTTTGAGTTTAACCTATTTTTAAAAAACAAACCTTGACCATAACTTTTAAAAGGTTAGGGCTAAGGTTTTCATGTTTCACATATTTATTCCTTTGCAGGACCTTTCATTGGATGACAAGAATGACCTTGACCTTTGAGTTTTGACATACTTTTTAAAAAACTTTATCCTTAGCCATAACTTTTCAAGGGTTAGGGTTCTCATCCTTTACATATCTATTACTTGTGACAAGACTTAAGAAACCAAAAACTTAGACCGTTTGACTTTATAGAGTTTGACCTACCTTTCAATAACTTATCCATGGCCATAACTTTTGAACAGGTGATGCTAGGGATTTCGTATTTCACAATCGTATTTCTTGTGAGAAGACCATACTTTGGGTAATAATCGAATTTACATTAAAGAAAAGTTTAATCTTCGCTATATTGCCATACGCGGTCATCCCCAAAAGTTAAGTCAATCAAGCAGATCAAGGTCAAGGAGTCGGAAATCAAAGCGTGCTTGGAAATATCTTGTCACGGGTAATGCACATGTCAAATATGAAATAAGTTTGACCACTTTGTACGTGTCATTGAATGAAAATGAGAACACACACAAAAATGAAATGGGTTAACAAATATGCTATTAGTTAAGATAATTAAATGGTATACGATTTCAACTGTCATCTCGAAAATAGTAAGAATAAAAGGTTTCAAGAAATTTCCTAAAATCATTTAATTTTATCGACAGTTGGTCATTCATTGATAGAACTAACGAACAGGGGTACACATGTTGTGATGGGGATAATAACACCAAAATCTAGATTTGATTATGTATTTATGACAGAAAGTGTCTTCTTTAACTTCAATCAGGTTTTATTAGGAAAAGCACCAAATTATGACGGAACAAAATTCAGTGACCATTAAGAGTTCGACTTTGATGTTTTGTACAACAGAAAATATCAGTGGGAGTGGTTATTGGAAAATGAATAGGTCACTTCTGAATACTGTAATAACTGCAATAAATTAGAAGCTTTATTTAAAAAAATACTAGAATGTTTGTTAATGACCCTATTGCTAAATGGGATTATTTGAAAATATCAATAAAAAAAATTATAACAGTGGCCTACTCTAAAGAGAATGTAATTAAAAAAAAAAAGAAAAATATTTTTTTCGAACATAATTACACTTTCAAAAAATAAAAACATTTTAGATGTTCAATTTTTAGGCACTATAGGATCACATTGTAAAAATTCATTAATTAAAAGCAGTAAAATTTCATAATTTATTCTCCAAAAGTTTTATGATATGTCCAAACCACATCAATATCACTCTTTCACTATCTCAATAACACATAATTATGTGTTGTAGAAATGTACTCTATTTTATTTTATTTAAAATGTCCGTCAGATATAATCTGAATTCTCCGTTTCTGTTATGTATTGTGTGGTTCCTGTTCTGTTTTCCGATTTGAATTTTTCTTGCTTGATGACCGCGACACCTGGAAATGTATTAATCAAACAGTCTTTGTATAACACTAAGAGATGTTTAACAATTTTTAAATATACACGAGCTTTTAGTAGTCTAAATTTATACTGAAATGGATGGTAATTAAGAGAAGAAAAGTCTGTACCCGATGTGATTCATCGCTTTTGCTACTACCCTCGTTCTGGAATAGCTTAGTCTCGAAGACAGGTTCTAAATATAAACAAAGGCTCATCATCTTCACAATGTCAAAGTTTTGTAATACAATTCACAAGAGCCTTGACAAAAGTCGCTGGTTTAAAGTTGGGCTTATAGTTACACATGACGTAATGGTCAATTATAAATCAACCTGTTGGAATATACTGTACATAATCGTTCAAATCTACATAAAGCCATAACACAAATTTTATGATTGTTTGAAGGAGGAGGATCTTTTGAAAACATTCCTCACCGAAAATTATATAACAAGTCACATATTTTACAAATTCGACATAATTACGAGAGATTTTCATTGTTGGTAAGTTTTGTAGAGGAATAAGCTACGTCTTTAGAATGTAATTATGTCGAATTTGAAGGAACTGGTATCCTTCATTGGACAATGAAGCATTATTTAAGTATTACCTGGTGTGTCCTGCGCCTTATTATCGCCGAGAAGGTGTAGATGATAGGATTCAGAGCCGAGTTTATAGGAAGAACTACGACAACAACCCAGGCATACACCTTAGACGTAAAGTCAATACCCAGAAACGTCAGTAAGCCTAAATATCAAATGATACAATACCCCAATACGTCAGTAAACCTAGATATAAAATTATATTTATACCCAGAAGCATCAGTAAACCTACATTGTAAATATCAAATGATACATGTAACCATAAACGTCAGTTAGTCTAAATATCAAATGACATCAATACCTAGAAACGTCAGTGAGTCTAAATATCAAATGATATCAATTTTTATAAATATCAGTAAGCCTAAATATTTAATGATATCCATAGCCTAAATATCAAATTACATCAATACCCATAATTGTCCGTAAGCCTTATTATTAAATTACATCAATACCCATAAAATGTCAGTAAGCCTTATTATTAAATTATATCAATACCCATAAAAGTCAGTAAGCCTAAATATCAACTATTATTATGCTTCCTGTCAGTTTGTCTCTATATAACCCATAGCCTACTATTCTCGCATAGTGGTCTAAGGATTTATATAGCGTAAGCATACTATGCCGAAATAGTGCACGGCCTTATTTTGTGAACAAAATACTTCAGTGCACACACCGGGAATCGAACTGACGACCATGAGGTTGCCAGTCCGATGCCTTATCGATTACGCCACAGAGACGATCACTGATTGTGAGAATTTTCAGTAAATATATAAACTTAATTTATACAATTGACACAAGAAGGAGAAAATAGACAAATACTATTAGAAAACAGTTCTGTTTATTCTAAGGAATCTTAGATAAATGTGTACAACAAAGTTTCAAACTAATTACATACAGATCGTTAGATGAATTGATATGATGGGGTCATTAAAACGCTATTTTTATATAGCGCTTGATTGAAGGATGTAAAAGAAAATTATCAATGAGAATGCACGTCTGTAAACAAATCAGTCTTACTAACAAAACAGAAAATTAAGATGAGGATCTTTGGAACAGAAAATTCTGACTTATTTAGAGAAATACTAGTAACCAAAATAACTAAGCATGCAACTAATTTTAGCATGAAGATTTTGAATGAGTTTTTGCAAGTGCGCTGTGTTACCACCATTATTTTCAGGAAAAAATCAAATGGATTGCCGCATAAATAATAACAACAGTCAGCATAATAATAACAATAGTGTTGCATTATGCATGTACTTTGCCTAAATAGTAGGCAGGGTTTGACACATAGTGCACTCGCCTCCGGCTCGTGCACCATGTGTCAAACCCTGCCCACTATTTAGGCATAGTACATGAATAATGCAACACTATTATATAAACATCAATACCCAGAAACGTCAGTAAGCCTAAATATTAAATCTGTATGATATAAGTACCCATATACTCTTGTTAATGCAAATTAATATTTTAAAAATTTTAATCTAAATAAACAGCATAATAAATTGGAGAACATATGAAAATAACTATCATAAAAATTCATAGTAAAAATACTTTATTTTACTAAAGTAAAACCTTTCATATAATTGATAACTACATCTATATATAATTTAAGTTGACTTTATAATTGTATTTTTGGTTAGGATTAGAATAGCATTGTGATTTCTTTTATGAGAAAAATATTTAACAAGACAAAAATACTCTAAATTGTTATGCATTTTATTGTCTGGGAAAACTGGCTTACCAATCACTCCGATTGGAATCCAGCAGAACATGTCTGTCATTGCAACAGCAATCAAAGTTTTAGCCAAACTGAGCTCTAGTCTTCCTTGAATATTGCGTTGTGAACTCACTTCTTTTCCCATTCGAACCACATCGACGAAGATTACAATTTGTCCAATGAAAATGGCAATAAAGATAAGAAAATTGGCGCCAACACATATACTCATAGAATATTCCCATCCTGATTTACGTAGCACAGATAATGGCAAAGTAATACATATACCTGAACTTGAATAATAATCGCTAAAGTATTCACTTCCGGTTAAAGGTAGCAATGCCAAAAGGAGATAAAGGGCCCAAACAGAAGAGGAAACTACACTACCGACCGAACACAACCTAACACCAGAGCGAACCCGAAGCGGACCCTGGGTTCGCTTCCCGGGTTCGCTCCGGGTCCGCTTCGGGTTCGATTTCAGAAATTTTAAGA